CAGGCGCGGTTGTGCCTGTCGATCGCCAAGGCCGAAGGGAGAATTAGTCCAACAGCCGTATGAGAAGCCAATTCTAATTCTGTCCGTCCGCCGCGAGCGTGGTGTCGAGATTTGCCATTCGCGAAACGTAAAGATAGGCGTGTCCGGCGAAACTTGTCTTTCTTTGTTTGCCTCGCTCGCCCCTGCCTCCCGCCCCTCCATCACGACTGTCAAGTTTTTGGAGAGATCAATTAAGCCTGAAACAGAGGGACGGCAACTTCGAAACCTGCGATCTAGGGCTCTCGGTCCTCGTCCTCGTTGACGTGGGATTCGGGCATCCTCCCGGTGGCTGGTGGCTTCGTAGCGTGGGACGCGATGGCGACGTGATGAAGCACGGGGCGCCCGCGCCCTGTGGTTCTCCTCGCAGACGCAGGCCTGGTCTGTCTGTCTGTCCTGTCAGCCTTGGTTGCTGAGGCCACCGCTGATCCAGCGTGACTCGGACAAGGGGTTGGCCTTTGTTTCTATCCTTCCATCCTGCGACGTCCGTCCATGTCGCTTACTCAAGGCTGTTCCTTGCCCGTGAGCCCTGGGGCTGGAGGGCCGAGCTTTGAAGGGAAACGTTCTTCAAGATGCCGTGTTCACCCGTCGCCCTCAGCCGTCGCGCGCCGCCGCTGTGCCCGCAATCGAAAGCTTGCGAAACAACCATCATCAAACAAGAGGGGACGCAAAACACATGGCTCCATCCCTCAACCTGCATTCGACATCTCCAATTAGGCTCTCGTATAGCTCCCCACGAACGTCCTACTGGAATGCTGGCTTTTTTGTTCTTCAGCTCGGTGGCATCATGAGGGCCAAGTCGAGGCATGTCGTTGAATTGCCCGTCTGTTTTGCCAAGTCGCCTCAAGTGCGCTCTGCCCTCGGGTTCGCCAAGAATGAGTTCCAAGCCTTGGCCTACGCGCACTAAGCTTTATTGGACCGCGAATCCCCCAAACATCAATGTGCTTGGCTGTGAAAGGAGTTGTTCTTTTTTAAAGGATGCCTGCAGTGCTCCTGCTTGGTATTCCGCCAATTGTACATCCGTGACCATAGAGCCTCGAGTGGCTGTTCCCGCATTGCGTGGCGCAAAGTCGTCTTTACGGCTTGTATCATGACATGTTGCAGAAGGTGAGATCGCGTCTGCTTGACAAGGTGCCCGTACGCAGAACGCATTTGTTTGGTCCACACCACCTGGCATTCTTCTGCGTCGGTGTGGGCAATCATTTTTGGGTTTGTTTCAATCTGATGTGAGCGCCGGCCCCGCCCGTGTTTGTCTGGTCTTTTTGAGGGGTGTGCTCATTCATGCGACAGCCCGAATGATGGGCAGGACAGCATGGCTGTGCCGGGCTGTCATGTTTCGGGCTGTGTATGTTAATTTTGACGTCGCTGAGAAGGCGCACAGTAGACGGATCTGTCTCGTGCAAACCGCGATGGATGGAATGTTTCCGTGCCTCATTCATCATTTTGGCTAACACTGTCTGAGGATCACGATGAGAAGGATGGGGGGGGGGTGCTAATTTGCGATACCAATCGCGATGACTGTAATGCGTGACCACCGAACTCAACTCGAGCATCAATTCCCTTTGATCCTCATCCCGCGATGGTCTGGCTCGTAGGGACGACTCTGCCAAGAGAATTCTGCTTCACCTGCGGTGAGGGGTTGCTCTCAGGTCATTCTGGTTCGTGTTGAGGGAGTTGGCACTGGGCGTCTCACGTCTAAGCCTCGCCCTGTGTCTCGGCGACATTGATCTTGGCAAAATAAGTTGCGTGACGCTCTACCCTGTCTCTCTTCCCTCTTGTGCCCTCCCCCCTTCCGATCGATGGGCATATGATTACGATGGGGAAGGGCGATGGGAGAAATAGATCTCTTTGGTAATGTTCGTGACTGTCCTGCGTATCGGCGAGTTCGGGATAGTGAAACGTGGGGGAATGGCAGATACCCAAGGTAAGTCATGTCGAGGGAGAGCCAACTGGGTGGATCTGATCTGCGGGCGATTTTCATCTCTTTCTCATCAGGGCTACGGGTGTGGAGGGTCTATTGGGAGTTTGTAGATCTAGAGAGTGCTTGGCGGCGATAGTTGGGGTTCACCACTTTTGATGATGTGTTATTTCGATAGGCTCCCCTTTGGATGATCACAGGGGGAAGGGCGGGCGGCGCTTCCCATCTGGACTTGGCCAGTGACTTCCAGCGGCCATTGTTGGAGTTTGGTTTTTTTGGAGATTCCCTGACTGCGGCGCGGACCGCGACAGCGATGACGGTGCGGACGACGTGTCCGAGACGGATGGTGCATGTGCTGTGTGACAATGTCTGATCGGCAGGCAGACTCGGATCGTAGCTCATGTGTTGGCGGTGGAGTTGCAGTCGCTGGGACGTCATGAACTGCGATTATCGACAGCTCTGCGGAAGATGAAGAAACTCTCTGCAGGGAGCAGGTCTATTTCGGTCGAATTGTTTCGGTGCTGCAAATAACATATTGGCGGGTGGCAGGCCAGTCTGGTTGTATTTTGACACCATTTTAATATCCGCGACCTTTATGTGTTGAACGTTGCAAATACAACAGAGCTCAAGTCTATTAGTATATCCTACCTGACGTGGGAAATATTTCACTCTTGCTTCCCATAATCAAGTATTGCAGTGTGATATGCGTCGTTCACGTTGTGGTTCAAAGCGGAATCGCATTGTCCTTAAATTGGGAAAGTCGTGATATCCATGAAATATCGTTAGCTGAATTTGAATGGAAGACACAGCACGGGTTCAGAATAGAGCAAATACATGTTCCTTGGCATGTTGATTATGTTATTCAGTATGCCTTTAGATATGTTCCATACGTGTAACGTCATGCAACGTGGATGCTGGCCGTGACGGATTCATCTAGCAGTATACACCACATCATTTCTACAGCAGAATCGTTCATCCCATGATACCGCTCACATCTTACCTGACACCGGTACCATGGTTGACTTGGTCTCGCCAATAATTCCTCTCCGGTACTCACAGTTCAGCCGCTGAAAACGAAGTGTACTTTGAAAGTGCCCAAGATGTACTCGCCTGAGAAGACTCTGAAGCTGCCAACCTGCTCACCAAGAATGCACACACACCCTCTCTTGAATAGTCGATGATACATCGGAAGCAGATGGCCATTGAGTCACAACACTGAACTGTGTCCGATGCTCGGTAGAATTTACCTTGTGCGCCCCCGTCAGGGTGTGCAACCTGCACCACCGCGAAGCTTCTCCAGCTCGAGTAGTGAATGTCACGGCTCAACCAGAGCCAACAATGCTACCGAGTGCTTCTTTTACAAATTCTAGCTCAAGTTCGTGAGTACTTCGGGAACCCAATATGTTCCGAGATTGCCCGCCAAGAATAAGTAGAGCAGGGTGATGGTAATGTAGAATTTTGCTTTCTCATGAGTAATCCGCTCTTCCAAACCACATATGGCTAAAAGCACCACAGCTGATCCATACTCTTGGTTAATACTGTGACCAACCCCGAGAAGACGAGCCAATGACTCTTTATATTTGAACGCTGGGCTGTCCACAACACGGGTGTCTTCTGAAGAAGAGGACCGAAACATTGACGACACAAACAACCGTGTCTGGCGAACGGCAATGAGTAACATACCTCGTTCGACACGCTCCAATCATACCGAATCAGCAGAGCGGAGAGTATCAGGCTTTTACAGCCGAGGAACCTGCAAGAGTACAGGAGATATCCCACTTCACCTCTGCCAGACACGCCTCCCCAGCTACGACATGGCAAAGCCCAGGAGCATGGACAAAAGAGAGACCTCTGATAGAGCAACGTATCAACTGTCATTTATCTGTTGGGCGTCAGCAGAGAATAGATTCAGAAGGGACTCTCACGTCAAACCAGACATCTGGGCTCCGAGCATGGTTTGCCCCCTTGAAGCCTCCGCCGACGTCAGTCGAAGCCGGAGATTCGACTTGATGAGCAGTGTCTGGTTCGTGTATCTCTACTTATACATCACATCCAATCCTCCGAGTACTGTTGTAGCAGCTCTTCGTCTGTTGCTAATGATGTGGCAGGGGAACATCACGATCGTAGTCCTTCCACAGAGGCCAACTAGCTCTCCAATGAACCATAGGACTTGTATCGATGGCACGTGTGGTATGTTGAACTGAGTAGGAAGTGAGCAATCTTTGCACTTTTCCCCACTGATGCTGGAGATATGCAAGACTAGATAGGTACGACTGTTCGGAACTCCTTGAAATCATGGCCCCCAAGTGAACTGATGGTGATGAGGAACCTCTACCGTCCTTCAACAGTAGCTTTCCAGGGGAGCGATGACCCATTCAGGCCGGCTATGGCAAACCCAACACCACTCCATCATCTTCAGCAGGTTGACTTAGCAACTTGATGTCAACGCCGGAAGCCCTATTGTTGAGCGACGTCTAGCGCCAACGGAGGGCACGACGGCATGACGAAGGCATACAGACTAGCGGCCGTAGCTGAGCGATCAGTGACTGGCAAGGAGCTGCTTGTATGTTCCCTCCGACCTATGTGGTGTGAGTACATGTTTAACCTTATGGTTCCAGCGCGATTCTCAACGACATACCAACAATCATCATGTAAATGAGAAATTGTACTGGAGAATCGCACGATTACATCCCCTGAGGCCCTGGCTCGTCGTGCTACGCAACTCCATGTCATTACCACAGCACACGAAAGGCACGTCACGGCAGAACGGAGGAGGCCCAGCCAACCAAGTCTATAATATCCGGAAGCGCACATGGGCATTCGCCATCCATCCGCGTACGGAGTGTGGGCGAGTCTAGAACCAGAGAAAACTACAACAGAAAATGCAAATTACAGCAGGAGTTTTACGTCGCTAGGACAGGATCGCCGTCGACAGATGATGGTATGATTCGAGAAATATGCGAGGGGCCTCCACCTCCCTCCACATCAGCGTCTGGCTGTGGTCGGGTTCCCTCTCTCCATTTCCGCGACTGGAGAAATTCGGCGCTTAGTGCTTCGCAGTGACGGCATCACCGGTGAGCTTCTCAACGTAGGTCTTGGCCCTGTGTAGCGCGAAATATGATTAGTACATGTCATGTCAAGAACACGGGAGCATGGCAAAAACTCACATGTCACCCATAGCAACCATGCAGATGGTCTGCCAGATGCCGAGACCGATACGGGGCGCGACACCACGGTAGAGACCGCGGATGCCGTTGGTGTCGTAGATGTAGCGGAAGGTGTTACCGACGGTCATCTTCTTGGGCCGGTTGGGATCCTCCTTCTTGCTCTGCATCTCGACGCGGATGACCTCGATGGGCTGGTTCCAGGCGCTGAGGCCACCGCCGAAGGCACTGGCGAGGATCTTCTCCCAAGCGGCCAGCTTCTCGCCGCCCTCCTTGCCGGTGGCGCGGCGGATGCCCTGCTCGGCGAGACGCGAGAGACCGAAACGGGAGCCCCAGTTGGTCATCTGGCGAATGGCGACAGCGTTGACACCCTTGTTGATGCCACGGACGCCCTCGCGGCGGTAAATGTCCATGAAGGTGGCAAAGGTACTCTGGGGCACGACGCCGGCGGCGGCCTGCTTGTGCTTCGTGATCTCGACCGTCTTCATGCAGGTGCAGAAGCCCATGGTGGCGTAGGCCTGAGCAACACCACCGACGACACCACCAGTGATACCGCCGGTGAACTCGGAGGCGCCAGCGGCGCGCGCGTAGTACTCGGCTTGGGAGGCGGACGAAAGAAGACGGCACCTTGGGTGGAGGCTTCGAGGTTTCGATCCAGGGCCCAGGGGGATAAGGGCCCTTGGTGGGCTGTGTGCCCGGGGGTTGTCAGCAATTTCCATTTGCCCGCTTCCCGATCTTCGCGAGCACTTTGGTAGGACACAAAAAGGCTTACAGCCGAGGACACCGCCGCGAGACCAGATGGGGCCGAGCGAGGGCGTGGAGCGTCGCCCCGGTTGGCGGCCATGGGTGTCTTGAAGACCTCGAGGGGCTGGCCAAGGGTGGTGACCTCAAACATGTTGAGACCGGCACCGAGGAGCAAGTTGGAGAACTTGACGGGCTTCTTCTCCAGCTTCGCGGGCTCCCCGATGGGGGCGGGAACGTGGGCGACGGCGACCATGGCTCTTGTTGGAAGGTGACGATAGGGGGCCCTGACCAAGGGGAGAGTGTGCTTCTTCGCGGAGTGTGGTGAAAACGGGGAGGGAGCGAGTAGTAGTGGAAGGAAAGGGAGGACTCGGGTAACGTCCGGGGAGGGGACTGGAGAGTGAA